CATGTTTTCAGATTCTAAATCTTGCTAGGGAACCTTCTAAAGGTGCTATATCCGTGAAGCTATGATGAGAACGAGGCGTTAGAAGTTTCGTGTTTAGCCGCTAGGTTGAATATTGGGGTCCAACCTTCTGAAGCTCGTAGTATGAGCAGGAGCTATTTTAACGCCTCGGTATCATGACTCACATGTTTTCAGATTCTAAATCTTGCTAGGGAACCTTCTAAAGGTGCTCTATCATGAAGCTATGATGAGAACGAGGCGTTAGAAGTTTCGTGTTTAGCCGCTAGGTGAATATTGGGGTCCAACCTTCTGAAGCTCGTAGTATGAGCAGGAGCTATTTTAACGCCTCGGTGTCATGACTCACATGTTTTCAGATTCTAAATCTTGCTAGGGAACCTTCTAAAGGTGCTCTATCATGAAGCTATGATGAGAACGAGGCGTTAGAAGTTTCGTGTTTAGCCGCTAGGTGAATATTGGGGGTCCAACCTTCTGAAGCTCGTAGTATGAGCAGGAGCTATTTTAACGCCTCGGTGTCATGATTCACATGTTTTCAGATTCTAAATCTTGCTAGGGAACCTTCTAAAGGTGCTCTATCATGAAGCTATGATGAGAACGAGGCGTTAGAAGTTTCGTTTTTTGGCCGCATCCGGAATATGGGGGTCCAACCTTCTGAAGCTCGTAGTATGAGCAGGAGCTATTTTAACGCCTCGGTGTCATGATTCACATGTTTTCAGATTCTAAATCTTGCTAGGGAACCTTCTAAAGGTGCTATATCATGAAGCTATGATGAGAACGAGGCGTTAGAAGTTTCGTGTTTAGCCGCTAGGTGAATATTGGGGGTCCAACCTTCTGAAGCTCGTAGTATGAGCAGGAGCTATTTTAACGCCTCGGTGTCATGATTCACATGTTTTCAGATTCTAAATCTTGCTAGGGAACCTTCTAAAGGTGCTCTATCATGAAGCTATGATGAGAACGAGGCGTTAGAAGTTTCGTTTTTGGCCGCATCCGGAATATGGGGGGTCCAACCTTCTGAAGCTCGTAGTATGAGCAGGAGCTATTTTAACGCCTCGGTGTCATGATTCACATGTTTTCAGATTCTAAATCTTGCTAGGGAACCTTCTAAAGGTGCTATATCATGAAGCTATGATGAGAACGAGGCGTTAGAAGTTTCGTTTTTGGCCGCATCCGGAATATGGGGGTCCAACCTTCTGAAGCTCGTAGTATGAGCAGGAGCTATTTTAACGCCTCGGTGTCATGACTCACATGTTTTCAGATTCTAAATCTTGCTAGGGAACCTTCTAAAGGTGCTGTATCATGAAGCTATGATGAGAACGAGGCGTTAGAAGTTTCGTTTTTGGCCGCATCCGGAATATGGGGGGTCCAACCTTCTGAAGCTCGTAGTATGAGCAGGAGCTATTTTAACGCCTCGGTGTCATGATTCACATGTTTTCAGATTCTAAATCTTGCTAGGGAACCTTCTAAAGGTGCTGTATCATGAAGCTATGATGAGAACGAGGCGTTAGAAGTTTCGTGTTTAGCCGCTAGGTGAATATTGGGGGTCCAACCTTCTGAAGCTCGTAGTATGAGCAGGAGCTATTTTAACGCCTCGGTGTCATGATTCACATGTTTTCAGATTCTAAATCTTGCTAGGGAACCTTCTAAAGGTGCTATATCATGAAGCTATGATGAGAACGAGGCGTTAGAAGTTTCGTGTTTA